CATGACTATTGATCTGGGAACACCGAAACGGCAGATAATATTGTTCCAAATAAATCGTCTCACATGAGTCTGAGTCACGCTAGGATATGGTTCTGCTTCCACCCATTTAGTGAAGTAATCCGTGGCCAGTAACACATACTTGTTCTGAGCTCTTGCAGTTGGCAGAGGACCGACCACATCCATCCCCCATTGCGCGAAAGGCCATGGCGAGGCCATTACGTGCAATTCCTCAGGTGGTTGGTGGATCAATGGTCCATATCGTTGGCATTTATCGCACCTTCGAGAGAATTCCTCCGCATCTCTTGACATGTTTGGCCAGAAATACCCTTGTGTCATTGCTTTATGCGCTAACGATCGCCCCCCAGAATGATTGCCACACACACCCTCGTGAATAGCTCGCAATACCTGCTGCGACTCCGCGGGGGTGACACATTTCAAGTATGGGCCAGAGTAGGACCTTCTGTACAGCTGGTTACGCACGATGGCGTACTTTGCAGCATTGTTTTTGAGTCTCCTAGCTTCATCCCTTTGCATAGGCAAAACGCCATCTCGAATATAGGTAATGATGGGGTCAATCCAACTCGGTTCATACGGTATGACGTTGACTTGCCAAGGGTCAGAGTCCATCGGTTCTTCGAAAATAGATGGCTGGGTCACTATTCCTACTGGAATCACCCTCGCCAATGTTTCACCGCAACTCGAAGCACTACATGCTAACCGGTCTGCATCTGCATTCTGCTCCCTCGGCAGCTGTATGAATTCAATCTTTGCAAAGTCCTTGGCTTTATGCAGAACGGCAGAACGATATGCCCCCATCGTGTCATCCTTGGTCGCGTACTCACCATTTACCTGCCGAACAATCAGCTGCGAGTCACTATACACTGTCAAACTTTTGATCTGTAGCTCTCTGGCCAACTTTAATCCATTTAGCAACGCCTCGTATTCCGCTTTATTATTGGTGGCTCGGAACTCAAGTCTGAGTGCTTGGCTCAAGGAAGTACCCTCTGGGGTTTGCAGTTTGATCCCAATTCCAGCCCCCATCTGGTTAGAGGAGCCATCCACAAAAAGTTTCCAAGGGCCGCATCTAAGGTCTTCTTCCGTATCTTCGGCGTCACATTCTAGCAGGAAATCGGCCACCGCTTGCCCTTTAACAGCTGTTCTCGGCTCATACGTTATGTCAAATGAACTCAACTCTATGGCCCACTTTGTCATTCTGCCCGAGAGCTCTGGCTTGTGCATAAGCGTTCTGATTGGGAAAGTCGTTGGAACAGCTATGGGGTGGGATTCGAAATAATGCCTCAACTTTCTTTTTGCATTTACAAGTGCAAGTACCACCCGTTCGGCCTTTGAGTATCTTTTTTCTGCCTCCGTCAGTGTTTTGCTTACATAAAATACCGGGTATTGCACCCCTTCCTTGCAACGAATCAGAACGGCACTCGTCGCGACACCAGATACTCCAAGATATAGAAATAACTTTTCTTCCGGATCTGGGGCTGACAGGACTGGTGGATTCTGCATATATTCCTTCAAATGAGTCAATGCTTGTCGTTGTTCATCCCCCCAGACCTGCCTTCCATTGCTCCGAATCGTGTCAAAGAATGGTTTGCAGTGATCTGACAATTTTGAAATAAATCGACTTAATGCAACTATTCGTCCTGTGAGGGCTTGCACCTCTCTGATCGTCTTTGGCTCGGCATTCTTAATCAAAGCCTCTGCTTGAGCGGGGCTAACTTCGATGCCTCTGCGGTTGACCACGTGTCCCAGAAACTGTCCGGAACCCACACCGAACGAGCACTTGGTTGGATTGAGCCTCATCCCATATCGCTTTAGTACATCAAATACATCTTGCAGATGCTTCAGATGATCATCCTTCTTTCTACTCTTTACCACCATATCATCAATATAGGCTTCCACAATCTTACCCATTTGATTCTTAAAAACTTTGCTAACAAGTCTTTGATAAGTTGCTCCCGCATTCTTTAGACCGAAAGGCATAACTCTGTAGCAGTATGTTCCTCGCTCGGTGACAAAAGAAGTTTTTTCTTCATCTGCGGGGTCCATAGGAATCTGATTATAACCTGAATAAGCGTCCAGAAAAGTTAAACGTTCATACCCAGTGGTGGCATCCACCATTTGATCAATCTTAGGCAGCGGGAAGCTGTCCTTCGGACAGGCTTTGTTCAAATTGGTGAAATCAATGCATACTCGCCATTTCCCATTCTTCTTCTGCACAACAACGACGTTGGACAACCAATCAGGGTAGTGCACCTCTCTGATAAATCCCGCATCAAGCAGCCTATCGACTTCTTCCGCTATGATCTGATTACGTTCTGGAGCAAATCTTCGCTGCTTCTGTTTCACTGGTTTGAAATTGGGATTGACATTCAGGGAATGACAGGATACGGAGGGACTAATTCCAGGCATGTCTAGGTGACTCCATGCAAATACGTCGGCATTGTGGGACAAGAAATCCACTAGCTCTTGCTGCTCTTCTCTGGTCAGTCTTATACCTACTCTGGTAGTTCGTTCTGGCCTGGACTGATCGATCTGCACATCCAGAAGGGGCTCCTCGGTCAAATCGACTGACTCCTCCACCCTATTCTGCTCGAGCGGAGGTTCCTGTAATTGCTATCTGGGGCTTGCCGAACGGACGGGCCCCTTTCCTTTCCCAGCATGCTTTAGTGTGACGGAATAACACTCTTTGGCTGCAACCTGATCCCCCCGAATGTCTATCACTTTATCTCCATCGGGTCCGAGGCACCTCATGACCTGATGCAGAGTTGAGGGTACACCTTGGACTCTGTGAATCCATCCTCTTCCCATCAGGAGATTATACGAGGGGTGAATTTCCACAACCACAAAAGTTTCCATAAACGCTCGTTCTGCAGCTTGAACTTCCACTTCCACCATCCCGACGGGCTCCACCCTCTTCCCATCGAACCCTAACAAGGGATTTCCACTGGGCTTGAGCCTCTCTGGTTTAATCTCGAGCCTGTCAAATGTGTCCATCGGCATGACATTCGCACTGCTCCCAGGATCGATCAGAACTCTGCGCACCAAGCAATCTGCCACTGTCAAACTGACTACCAACGGGTCTTCATGAGGCAGTTGAACACGCTGCAGGTCTGTCCAGTCGAACTTTATCTGCATCGACGGGCTCTGCTGGTGTAGAGTATTCACACTGCCGACCCTTTTCTTCATCTGCGCCTGCCGTAGGCGCGCCCGGAGCAGCTCATCTGACTCTTCACTAGGCTCGGGTCGACCATGGATAGCATTGATTATACGAACTGGTTGTGAATTGTGGGAGCTTTGTTTATGACTCCTTTTTATTTGTTCCACCGGTCGATTCTGCTCCATCGCCGAACCTTGAACATAACTCGCGAACTCCCCTCTAGCTATCAACATCTCCACTTGCCTCCTCAGGTTCCTGCATTCGTTAGTCTGATGACCGAAATCAGAATGAAAAGCACAATGTTTAGTTTGATCCCTCTGTTCGAGGGGTTGCCTAATTGGCAGTGGTGGATGAAACTTATCTTTGTTCTCCTGATACAGCCTCGCCAGAGTGACCTTCAGCGGAGTAATCAGCTCTTCCTCCCTGGACCTTTTTTCTGCCTTCCAAGAGGTCTGACGTTGCGGCTGAGCCTGCTTCTGCCTGATCTTTGCCTTGGACTTTTCCTCGGTCGACACGAGCGACGTTGTCCGAGCATTAGCTGCCTCCTCTTCTTCTAGGCGCACAAAGCCATCGGCTCTTTCATTGAGTTCATCCATAGTAGTCGGCGTGTTCACTACCAGACTGGTGTGAAACGGAGTTCCGCGTGTCATGGCTAACTTGAAGGCTTGAACTGCTGTAGAAGGGTGGCATTCGATCACCATACTCTTAGTGAGATTAAACCTGGTAAGAAAAGCCTGGAGACGTTCATCCTTGTGCTGCCTCATCGTGAATAGGCTCGAGATGTCCTTCGGCGGGCGCTTGTTCCCATAGTACTGGCTTATGAACCGATCGCACAGGTTTCTGAAACTACCAATGGAGCTCCTAGGCAAGTTTTTGAACCAGCTGAGCGCCGGTCCGGCTAGGCTTGTAGGGAAACATTTGCACATTAAAGAGTCGTTTTCCGTATTCAGGGCCATTTTCAACTGGATATGATACACATGATCGATCGGATCGGTCGTTCCGTCGAACAGAATAAAGACTGGCATAGCAAACTTCCTTGGATGCGGGGCATTCAAGATCTCGTCGGTGAATGGTGAATCCACCGTCCGAGCTGCGGATCGGAGAGCTTCATTCTCTCTCTGGAGTCCAGCGGTAGCTCTGTGAGTTACGGTTCTGCCCTCCGAACCGTGATGAGTGATAGTAACCATGGAGGGCCGGTAAGACGGATCGAACGACCGTTCCTCTATGAACTCTCTTTCCCACAGACGACGCCAATTGAAGATGCAAGAAATTCGTTCTCCCCTTTCTCTCTCTAGAATTCTTACACTTCAACCAAAAAGATCCCCCTCTTTTCCATTCCTTATCCTATTTATAGATATTTACAAGATATTTACTGATTGCTGGATCTGGGCCTATTCCTACATAAGTCCTGGTCACCTTTGATGGGCTTACTCGCGTTCGGCCCATATGGCAGTGTCTTTATATGGGCCGACCCAGCTGTACGGACTGAATGTAGTGTTTGCAAGTCGGATCCGGCCCATGTCGTCCGGGGCCTCCTCATTAACTAATTTTAATTTATAAGATATTTAATTAATACCGTACATTTTTAGAATATATGTAAGCACGTTCGATTTTGGAGTTTAGGACTATCACAAATGAATGTCACAGAGATATTATTAAATTCATTATCATTCGTGAATTTAACAATTTGATCTGATATGTACATATTGAATCGAACTCGGGAATTGATGGATAAAATTCTCGCTCGACAAATACGTTCGTTCCATGGTGTCAACAAAAGTTAAACGGGCGGGGTAGGGTTTAACTTTAACCCGCCCCATACTCTCTTTGTTTTTCGACCGGTACAACTCAGAAGTTGGACCAGTCAACCGGCAAACACTTGTTTTTTGACAAGAAATGATAACAGCCCTCGTTTAGGGTTTTATGTCGTCGTTATACTCCCCACTCCACTGCATGTTTGTATACGCAGACAACAAATTGCTTTAATGGAGATTAATTTGGGGAATCTTCCATTCGATGTCGATTTCCATCCTTCGAACTCTCTCGTCGCCGCTGGGTTAATCACCGGTGATCTTCTCCTGTAAGTTCTATTTTTTATTTTCTGGGAAATTATCTTCTCCCTGTAAGTTCTCCGTTTATAAAATCTACCTCTCTCGTTACAGATTTCGTTACGCTGCCGATTCGCAACCACAAAGGTAACATCTCGTGTTTATATATATATATATATATATATATATAAATACATATTTGTATTTTCTTATTCAGTTTACAGAGAAGCATATTAAAAACTATACAGTTGCATTAGGAAAAGTTGCGCTTATGTTCATTTGGAACTATTTCAGGCTGTTGGAAGTCCATGCCCACAGTGAATCGTGTAGGGCAGTTCGATTCATCAACGAGGGACGTGGTAAAACATTTTTTGTTGTGGTGTTTTTTTTATTGTTATTTTGCAATTTTAGTGACACTAAGGCTTATTTATGATGGAATGTATTTGGGATTTCTCTCTCTGAGTTGTTTCTTGTGGTGAATTTGAACTTGTGCTTAGCAATTGCCACTGGCTCTCCGGATTGCTCGATTCTCGCTACGGATGTAGAAACTGGGTCTGCTATTGCCAGACTTGAAAATTCTCATGGGTGGGTTTTGTATTTTTTTTAGTTATGCTAGTTTGTGTGCCTCTTGGGGAATTATGGAAACCTGCATTTTTTTTTTAATGTTTTGTTATGTAGCTCTACTGTTTCATGCTTAGTTATTTTTATTGGTTAAAATTGATCTGACATGGTTTACTCGTGCAGGGCTGCTGTCAATCGATTGATCAACTTGACTCCGTCAACCATTGCCTCCGGAGATGATGAAGGGTGTATTAAGGTTTGCTAACTTAGTTGTTTTTATATTATTTATTTTCTCACCTTTTGGTTTATTAAACTATAGATTTCTGCAACATCCGAAGTTTTCAAAGAACTAAAAACAAAATTGAAAATAGAGTTTTCATCCTTCCTCCGCTATTCTTATTTTCTGTGAATGCATTATTTGGTTGGATGTTATGATAAAATGCATTTGATTTGTTGGAAGTTCAATGTTGATTTATGTTGTATCTGCAACTTATGGATCAACGTCAGGGGTGGACCTAGGGATTTTCAATTGGATGTGCCGACTATTATTGCGAGATAAGCTTTTACTATTATTACGAGATTAGCTTTAAAAATCATAAATTGTAGTGTGATTTTCTTTACAACAGGTGTCGTAGCATATGTTTCTACTACAACAAATATTTTAGATAGATAATCTATGAGGCTATGAGCCAAAAGTATTTCTTAATCCATTGCGCATGCTAATTGAGATAAAGAGGGGGATGTGGGTTAAATTTGTTTCTTCCCCCCTTTTCCCATGAAATGTGGGCCTCCGGATGTTAGGCAGAAAGAAACTCAAAATAATAATAAATATTTTTAAATAGGAACTGGAGGGCCATTTGATAAATTCTTATTTATGTTTTCAGCTAACAATTAATAGAGAGGCCAATTTCTTAGGCTTTTCAAAATTTTGGGGGCCATGGTATCCCTCAAGTCTTCTCTGGATCAATGGATTGCTCGTTAGTTAGTCAATGAGCAAATAATGCAACCCGTGCTTAGGACCAACAAGTTAAAATAAAGGATGATATTTTTTCTTTTTCTGTTTGTCTAAAATTGAGATGATAGTGCTCAATAGTTGTGGGAACCTTCTATATAGGTGACCTCTAAGCAATATATTCTTTATGTGTGGTAGTTTTGAGATGCAATTCTCCAAACAACCATGATGGAACTTTAATACACTTTAAGTTAAATCCAGAGTCTCAAGAAACTCATTTATTTTTATTTAAAGTATTTTTATGATAAAAACTTTAAGAATATGCACTCTAGTTGATAAAGTGTCATAAGAAAGTTTTCTTGGGGTTATTTGTAATTACAGACTTCATGGTTGTTTTTCCTAACATTTTTTTTTTGTTTTGCCAGGCCAGGAGTAAATTGGTATTTTCTCTGTAAACCATATCGAGTTAGATCAACCACTAGACATGGTATTTTGCGGGCGAAAATGCTTAAGGCCCTATAATTCTGCTTGATGAATGCAGCTTACCAAAACTCTTCCCAAAGTTGATAGACCATAGTTATTTAACATGTTCCAACAATGGAAAAGGGATCTAAACCATCTGTCATAATTAACCTGTCTAACTTTTGTTTCAACCAAGCCAAATTAAACTTTCTAAATAATTATATTCTGTCTACAGGGGTCATTGAGACCCCTAATGTTTCCAGCAACCAAGCACGATTTAGAAAAGAAAGAAACTCCAACTGTAGTTTTGAACTAAATGCTGATATCTGCACATGATTTTATTCCTCATTATTTTGCAAACTTCTGGAGCAGTGCTTTAGCTCCAGCTGAATTAGGAGTTATTGGTTTTAGGCTTATGTGGGAAGAACTAATTCTGTTGTTCTCATATAGTGTTTGCATTTTAGTATTTTGCCTGGAGCCCTTTTCATTATCCTTGTAAAGATTGTATATCTTTATTGAAACTGTTTGGAATACTGACAGTATGGAGTTTGGGGGTAGCTTGATTTGATTCTCTTCATTTTTATTTTATTTATGTTTTTTTGTTCTTTTTTTTTCAATGCAGGTATGGGATACCAGAGAACGTTCTTGCAAAAATTCTTTTAATGCCCATGAAGAATATATCTCAGATATGACTTTTGTATCTGATTCCATGAAACTCTTGGGAACAAGGTAGTGATATTACAATGATAGTCTCCAAATCAGTAAATTTCTGTTACATGAACTACATTATATGTGTTTGGTGTGGGGGTGTGTATAGTCCTCGGATTTGTTTTATTAATACATCTTGACATACAAGAACACGACTAAATTATCATCTCGACCATTTACATCATTTTTAATTAGGATAAAATGTTGTTAATGCAAAATTGCTCTTTGGGCATGGGTACTTAAAGTCATTTTGAAATATTGAAGTTTGAATATAAAATATTTGAAATGTGTTCAATGAAAGTTTGAGGTCTGTTGTTGCTATATTCCTGTGCTTAAAATAATGTTGGGTAACTTAGTTATCTGACAGTGGAAGAGTTGGATAAGTATCCTAGATTCGAATCCCTGTCATGTCATGTCCAACATGGAAATATACCCATTATGATTTGTCCATGTAGGTTTAGATATTCCCTAATGAGTGGCTTTTGTTTATATTTTATATTATTTTAGTTTCTTTGACATTGTTAGTTTTCTTTTCTTTCACATTGCTAAGTGGAGATGGGACTCTATCTCTTTGCAATCTTCGAAGCAATAAGGTATGTCTTTTTGGGATTGCTTCGGTGGTTGATGTTTTTGATGTAAAATAGTTAATACTTGTAGACATAGTGTGCTATTTAATCTGTCCGAATTTTCTAATTCCAGGTTGAAACTCGGTCTGAATTTTCTGAAGATGAGCTGCTTTCTGTAGTGCTTATGAAGGTAGGCTTTATGTATATACAGAGGCTACTGGACTTTATCTTCCCCTGTCGCGACAGAGTGGTAGTTCAACTAGTATTGCAATTTGCGCATGGAACTTCTTTCATTAGCCATTGATGTTTCTTTGCAACATGCAACTGTTTATTTTTCTTTTCTGTTTATTGTATTGCTTATGGAAATTATAGACCAAGAGAGGAAAATCATTAAGTCACCTGTGATTATTTTATTAGGACTGGATAAATTTGACAATAATACCAAATGAATGCTTCGCAACTTGTCTGTGTTGATTTATTCTTCTTCCTACTTTGGTTGACTATTTCTTTGTTGTGATCAGAATGGTCGGAAGGTCATCTGCGGGACACAAACTGGAACTCTATTATTATATTCATGGGGTTTTCTCAAAGACTGCAGGTAATCCATATCTTAAATGTTTGAAAGCAAGTGTTAAAAAAGTGTCTCGGAAGGGGATATTGTCGTCATCCACTATGTGGAGTGATTTTGAACCAAATGAAATACTTTTTTTTAAAAAAGTGTCTCGGAAGGGGATATTGTCGTCATCCACTATGTGGAGTGATTTTGAACCAAATGAAATACTTTTTTTTTCTTTCTATTCTTCAAGTGTTAATGTTCCTGCTGGGTAATGTTTTCCGAATCTTTCTTTTGGATTTTCAGTGATCGTTTTGTTGATCTCTCTCCAAACTCTGTTGATGTCTTGTTGAAGGTTAGTATAATTTATCACTATTAAGTAATAGCATTTGGCTTACTTTAGGTCACTCCAACTAATGATGCCTCTCATTTTTCTTTTTCTAAATAGCTTGATGAAGACAGAGTTATTACTGGATCCGAGAATGGACTCATCAGGTGAGAAGACTGCGGTGTTATAGGGCTTACTAGTTAGTACTACATCCCACTTGTCAAATCAAAATTTCACTCGTTTTACATTTCACCTATTTTCTGTTTAGCCTTGTAGGCATATTACCCAACAGAATAATCCAGCCAATTGCAGAGCATTCAGAATACCCTGTTGAGCGTCTTGGTATGACTTGCATACTTTCTTTTGAGGAAATGATTGAGCATCTCTGTTTTTATTTTTATTTTATTTTATTAATGACTGTATATGGATACAATTTTATGGAACTTACTGGAAAAAAATTGCAGAGCATTAATTTAATACCACAATAATTATTGCAACTTTGTTTGTCACTTTTTATTTTTTATATTTTTATATTTTATGTTTTTTATATGTAGTAAAATACTTTTACCCGACTCATTAGTCATTCTCTTAGTTGCTGTTACCTTATTAAACAATTTTGTTGACCAAGACACTATGGTTAATTTCTAATCAAGTATATATTTATAACCGCATTCTTTTTATATGTTTATCCCATTGGTGAACTGCTGAACTGCCATCCATCAAGTTATCTTGCATTTCCATTCTCTTTTAACCTTATTTCACATCACTCTTAGATATTATCCTTTCTTAAGTTGGACAATGTTTAATTGGTAATATATTATGTCCAACGTTTCGGATTGTTTGGTGTTGTAGCCTTTTCACACGATAGGAAGTTTCTTGGCAGTATATCACATGATCCAATGCTGAAGGTGTGTTGATAACTCCTCTAATCTATCATGCATTATGATGGTGTCCTCTATTAATCTTTAAGGACTTGGATGATATTACTTTTTCTCAACCCTCTACATATTTTCCATGTAGCTATGGGATTTGGATGATTTACTCCAAAGTTCTGGTACTACTGTAAGGAGTAATTCTGCTGTGGCAGACGATGATAGTGATGAGATGGATGTGGATACAAGTCTTCCAAAATTTTCCAAAGGTATTTGGGTGTCTTGCAGAGTTCATAATAGTTTACGTCATTGTGGTGTCTTCATCTAAGGCTAACGCCTGAAGCATATATAGCACCTGAGCAATAGATATGGACTGGTGATAAATTGTACACTTGCATTCCCCATATGAGATGTACCTTGTTTTTTATTGTCCACATCAAACTTGGTGCTTAAAGAATACAATTCGTGAAACATTATAAATTTGTTTCCTTGAGCAATTTTTGCTTAAAATCAAGGTAGAAAAGTACCGAATGAAACAAGATTGTCCTAATAATCATCTTAAATTTATTCTATGTGCTCTTTCATAGGGCTTCACAATGTTTAGTTTGTCTCGTGTTTACATACACAACAATAAGCATAATTATTAGACTTGAATTGGATATAACCTGAAAAGATGCTACATTAATGGTTCTTTGTGCAACAATCAGGTTGTGTAATTGAACCATGAAACCATAAATATGTGTGTGACAATTAGGTTGTGTGGTTGAACCATGAAAACATAAATACGTTTGTTTTGAAAAACACTCTGGTTGAGATTTTAATTTGCTATTGTTCATGTTCTTCTTTCTTAATTTTTTTAAAAATCAATGAGAATATAACTCTTAACTTCGAGTCTGTGTTTATGCATTTAATCAACTTCTCCGGAGAAGCCTTGAATTCTAACTATATAAACAAAGTTACACTTAGAAGTGAGGAAGAAGCCTAAGTTTTCTTCTAGTCATATATCACTTTGAAGAACTAGATTTCATGAACAAATTGACTAGCATAATAGTAGATTTAAGTAATACTAATTGTACCTATTAATAAGTAATCTTCTTGTCAGGCCCAACAGGCTTGTGGCCTAGCGGTACCAGGCCCTTACTTTCCAAAGGGAGGTCAGGGGTTCGAACCTCAGTGGAGGCATGTGTGTGTGAGTACCAACTAGGAAAAAAAAATAATCTTCTTGTCACTACCTGCCCACTTTGTGTAGATACTGTCGCTTTGCACACTCTTCATGCTCACGGATTTCAAAACGCGCCTACAAAGTTAGGAGGTGTCCACACAAATAAGTGCCAACAACCTCTTCCCCCGGGCGATGTGGAATATCACACTTCACCAGACACAGTTGTTTTCCCATAGTCTTTTGTTATTCTTGTGGTATTCAGTTTTGATCGCACCATCATAAAAGATAAAAGGATCAGGACCCATAGAAATATAGTTTCAGTTAGTGGACAGCTATAAAGATAGTAGCATGATTTGATGAATCCTAATATCCCATATGTTTAATTAAATGAAACCCGGTGTCTCTGGGCTTCCAAAGGATCAGTTTTAAATAGAGTGGCTGAAATCATTATCTCATGAATGATTTTTTTACACATGAACTACAAAAAGGAACCCATTAATTCTTAGGGCCTGATACTTTGCTATTGTGGTGCCAATGTGAAGACATTACCAATGGTGGTTGGTGCAGTAGTTGCATTTGTCTGATTCTCTACGGGCACATTTAAAAAGACAATTAAGTATTCTGGAGTGTATTTAAGTATAGCAGAGTTATTTCTTCTTATGTCTATCAGTTTATTATGGGTGCATTTAGGGATGGCAATTTACCCCAACTTGTTGGGGAACCGCCCCTCCCCCGCCCCGTTTAAAGCGGGTTTGGAGAACCGTTTATTTAAATGGGGTGGGGATGGGGGTTGGGAAAAAAAAAAAAAACCGGGCCGGATTCGGGGCGGGGGCGGGGTACCCCCGCTCCAATTATATATGGAATTACACCTATTAGCCCCTGCCATGTTATTGTACTTACCAATTTAACATATTATATATATGTGTGTATATATATATATCATATTATATTATATATGCACTTCTAAATAAACCCTATTCATTCCTATCTTCTAAAGCGGCAGCCGAGAGATGAGAGCTTGAGATCGAAGCTATGAGTGACGCGACGAAGCGAACGTTCTACGGCTTCAGATCTTCTCTCTCTTCTTCTCCGGCCATAGATTTCCACAGCCTTAGCCAAGCGATGAAGCAAATCGACACTTCTCAGTCCCTCACTATCATGCGACTCCCTTTAATCCTTCTCCATATTCTCTCTTCTTTTCCGGCCATAGATCCCCAATCAATGCTTCATATATATATATATATATATATTGAAGTAACAAGTTCTACCTTTTCACAGTTAGGTTTTGTTCACAGTTTGATTTGATCATCTAGTTTTTACTTTGATTCTCTTTCACAGTTTGATTTTGTAGCAATAAGAATCCGAAAAAACCCTCAAATTTAATCGGGGGCGGGGCAAGCGGGGATGGGGCGGGGGCGGTTATGGGGATTAGGAGTAAAAAAATAATCGGTTATGGGGTGGTTTTGGGGGTGTCAAATTTAAACGGGGACGGGGATGGGGAATGAGAAATCCGCCCACCCACCCCATTGTCATCCCCAGGTGCATTTTTTAAGTAGTGCATGCATTTGTGATTTATCTTTAAATAAGCATATTATATATATAAGTTTTATGTATACATTAATATAAGAAAAAAGAAGCGAAATAGTTTACATGCATGGCCAAAGTTGTTGAATAGCGAATATGTAACTTGCAGAAGTCTAGAAATAAATTAACATGAAATTCATGGTTCTTCTGTTCTAGGTTTTTGTATTCAATCAAGTCCTTAGTATATATTTTTCCTGATTGGGAGGAGCTCAACCTTTTGGGTGTCTTATTTTTCAGTTTTGTTTTGTTGGATCCTTTGTGTGGTATGGTCTAAAGTTAATGAGCTTGACTAAGGCCTGCCATGCCTTTAAAGTTCCCAATAATCAACCTAGGTCAATTGAAGGGGCAGATTACCTCTGTAAATGACATAGATCATTATTATGACATTAAGAATGAGAAAGGCAAGTGATATGAGTGCTCTATTTTAGTGATTATGTTATTGACTAGATTTGCACAAGTTGATTTTATAATTGATAAGCTGCAATATGTACTTGATAAGAGGGATATGTATATACATGCAAATATTAGTGGCGTGTTTGAATATCCTATAGAGCTGCACTCTACATTGTGCTTTTCCATGGAATCTAAATGAGTCCATTGATTGTCCATGGCAAATTAAGGCCGTGTTGTTGAGTTACAGTGACCGTCAGAGTTATGTTTGGAAATGCAATGCAAGTAAAGTGTATTGTTTAATTTTGTTTGGATGTCCTGGGAGTTCCCTACTTTTTTGTGTTGTTGCCATATGTCCAAACTCCAAAGGAATACTACCATATCTTTTCGAACTATTCTTTTGTCCTTAACAACTTTTATTTATTTATTTATTTTCCATCTAATTGATTTTTTATATATATATTTTTTCCATCTTTGCAGGGACCAAGAGGAAAAATGAGAGTAAAGAGCAATCTCTCGGCAGTGCTGACAATTTTTTTGCAGATTTATGATATGATTAGCACCTTGTCATTCAACGCGGGAAAAAATAGCACGTTGTCCGTAACACTTTTGGCAACACTGATATGGCTATTGTCCCTAGAAGATGCAAGTTTTTCATGGATGCATGCCTATTTCTAGGGTTCTTGCTTCGAGGATGCAGCTGTTATACCCCGTGGGATTTACGCTGGCAATGTGGTCTCTTGATAGCTGAATTGTGCTTGTTACGAATGATTGGTTAATTTTGGTTAAAATTTTAATTTTTCTTGGAAGATTGTGAATTTTTAAGCATATGTTGTATTTTCTAGAAAAAGAAGTGGAGGTTGATTGAAAAATTGATGGATGGCTGCCATTCTTTATGCAACGTCATCTTGCAACACAATGAGGTAAACTAAAGAGGTAAACTTCGACCTCACCCATTAGTCTTCTGCCGCCGTCGCTTGACTACCTCGGCGATTGCTCCTCTGTCGTTGATTTCAATTATTCTGACCGCAGTACCGCTAGAAGGTAAACTAAAGAAAAATTGGAATTTAGATAACGTTGTTTGGTTAAGTAAGTATTAAATAGGGAAGAATTAGTAGTATTATATGATTTTACAATTATACCCTTCCATAATCAGTGGGAATTCTTTGAAAGGGTAAAAACATAGAAAAGGAGTTGATATCCTCCTCTCCTTTCCTCTCACCTCTGAGAGGAAGTGATATGGTTGTCTTCTTCCTTACCATTTTCTCTGGTTATGTCAAATATCAACTCATCCATCCATCCTTATTTTTCTCTCGTTGCTTCCTTTGAATTTTCTTTCCTACCAAACAGAGAGTAAAACTGAGCCCCACATCTATATATATTTAAGAATTAGACATCATTACATCATTTAGTTATATTAAACAGTGACAATGACTCTATGATTTAGTTCAATTTATTTTTATTTTTTTATTCTTTTTATTTTTATTATTTTTATTTTTTTTTGACTATGGTAATGTCAACATTTTATGGCATCTCATAATTCACCATTAATAAAATTATTAATGCATCTAAATTTGGTTTGTCTTACTAATAATTATACATTATGTGTGTATATATATATAAATCTCGTGCACGTACATTGAACATGTATTGGGATCGTTAACTAAAGTCATGGATAATAATTATATAGGCAGAGGATCTGCATATTCTTACTCAGTTTTGCTTTTTAGTAAACAACGACTTTTAAGTGTGTCAAAAAAACGTACTAGTATAATTTAAGATTGTCTAATCAAATTATTGGGACTTAAAATGTGGTTAATAAAATGCTCAATTATTCAGCACCAATATTTGACAGAATATAACCTTTATATATTACACGACATACACATGAGGTTGTAGAAAAGATTTCACCAAATCCTTCACATATTACAAAATTTGAAATTTAGATTCATTTGAAAACGTCACTATGTCATTTGCTCACAAATCAGATTTAGTAGTTTTTAGACATAATGAATGTTATAATTATCAATAGATAACAAGTAAACACCGCAGTCATATATGAGTAACTACAGCAGTCATAGTAACGGTAGAGAAAATAATTTGAAGGGGAATGAATGTGTCCGACTGTCAGACTTCCTATCATTACTCTTATTAATTTAATTAGGACATAGCAGTCGTGGCGGCTGTCCCCACTCGGCCCTTCTTACCTCCATCCCTGGTCAAGAAAGCAACAAATTTTCAGGTCCGGCCGATTTGTCTTATTATTAAAAATGTTGAATTGACATGGAATAAAACCTACCCACAAAATCATGTATTCATTTAGTTAAATAATAATTTATTTATTTTTGTACATAAGAGTCATATAGTGAAATTATATATATGAATTTTTTTCTAAGATGAGAAGTCTTGATGATGCTTAATTTGGTCAAAAGCAATCACGTACTCAACATTAGTCAAAATAAGTTCCTTTGCCATTTATATATTTTCAATTTTTAGAGGAAGGTTGTAGTTGTTTATAATTGTAACAATAGCACCAAACTGACTATGCATTACATCATCATGTCACTAAATATAAATATATGTATATATATACAGGGACGGACCAGCAGGGGACTGGGGGGTTGGCCCCTGAATTTTTAATATTTTCATTTTATACTCTAATGTTTTTAAAATTTATGAAAATGTCCCCCCCTAAAATTACAATTCGCCCCCACTGGATTCTTATTTTTTAGCATTTTATATTTCAAATTTTGATAATTTATGAAGATACCCCACTATAATTATAATTTGCCCCACTGATTTTTTTTTTTTCATTTTATACTTAAATTTTTTTAAAATTTATGAAAAATATCCTATTAAAATTACAAAAATGAACCCATCATATAATTTTGTACCCACAAATTAATTCGCCCCCCCTCACCAAATTTTCTGGGTCCGTCACTGTATATATATATATATATATATATATATATGTATACATATATATATCTATCTTTGAGTTGATATCATTCATAGTTTTTGAAAACTTTCTTTTGTTTATTCATCTTTTTTGTTCATTCATTTTTTCTAATTTTATGTAGGTTTATTTTTCAAAGGACCATTACCAGGTATAGTCTCTGTTACCTTATAAAAAAAAAAATGTATAATCTCTGTTAAAAATGAAACTAGTTGATTAAATGAAAGATTATTGAGTACAAATTTGACATTTAATATCATTAACACAAAAGCTTCTTTTATATGAACCATAGTGCAGTCCCATACTTTTAATAAGTATAAGAAGTTATGACATTTCCATTTAATTCATGAAAACTTTTAAGAAAAGTATATTATCCCCTGGATGTCCCATTGGTTTGCTTAGATAAGAAGTCTGTATGTATGCATGTATATATAATGTATGTGTATATATATATAGCACTGCTATTGTAATTTGTAGTGGAGACTCACTCACACTACTCAGGCGTCTCACAAAGCAGGGGTCTACACCACAACAGCTTTTGTGGACTTCACAGTTTTGTAATACACTCGACAGTGTTTGTGTGTGTGTGTGTCTGTATATATATCACGTGTGTTTGTGTGTATATATATATATTCCTAAAAAATATCGTTTTAATGTAGAATAACTCGAAGGGTAACTTAATAGACACGCTGACATGTTTAAGAGGTTTTGTACTCAGTTTCTAGAGACAATAAATCATACCCTTCATTTTCATAAATATATATATACAATACCTCTTAAACATGTCAGCGTGTCTATTAAGTTACCCTTCGAGTTATTCTACATTAAAACGATATTTTTTAGGAATATATATATATACACACAAACACACGTGTAAATTCAGTCTATATATTATTATTTTGTTAAGCTTAAAAGCTTTGTTCTGATTGAACATGGGAAAGCATCGTAAATGGTCTACAAAAACAATAAAAATAGCTTTGTCTATAGCCTTAATAGTCCCAATCTACATAACTTCTCTCTTTTAAGTCTACCTTCTTGTTCTTTTAATCTTTCTCAATGACACGTTTGACGACTTCCAATAAGATGTTGTCTCTCAATTTTTTTTTGGCCAAAATTATTGATGGATCCAAATCAATCTTCATAATACACCCTATCCTTTCATAACAACTAATCACATGGCGGTTTTGATTTATTGGTACAAAGACCATCAAGGGTTGTAATTCGGTAATATTTTCTTCTTTCTTTCAAAGTAAAAGAATAAGGGTTTAAGTCTGTATAATGTGGGCAATGTGGGATGTGCAGTTTCTTAAAGAAATTATTAGAGTCTACTTGGTTTGTAATCCCGAGAACAATTTTTTATTTTCAGAAAACTATTTTCAGATTTACAAACTAAACTGGCCCATTGTAACTCTAAAAACAGTTCAAAAAAACTTAGAAAACTGTTTTCAAATAATTATTTATCTGAAAACGTGCATTTTTATAACTGAGTTTTAAAAAAATGAACCAAATAGAATTTTTGTACAGTTTTTTTATTTTGATTTTTAGTTATCTGAAAAGAGTAGCAAATCAAGTAAACTCTTAATTTCTCTAAAAAAAAATATGTATTGAGGGTATTGATTGGTGTGATGTAAATTTTTTTGTTTATCAAACTTAATGATATAAGTACAAATTTGAGATAAAATTAGATGAAAGATTAGGTATGTATGCGACTAGGAATATTGTGAAACGAATGGAACTATTTATGAATAGTTTGAAATGATAGAATAAGAGTTCGATTTATGTTATTCGAAAGGAGTTAGGATTGTACGTTAGGAAAAGAGTAATGATAGGTTTTCTGACTTTAATTGTCGATTCCTCCTCCGAATACAACGTGGTTGGAAATAAGTCGAAGAGAAAGAGATATTTACGGGATTTTTTTTAAGAGTTCCAACGTGATCTAACCACGTTGTATTCGTAAAAAGAGTCGGTAATTGAGATCGGAAGACTTATCATTTCTCGTTAGGAAAATTGTCCCATTGAGGTGATTGTTAAGGGAACCAAAAACATGCCTAGCTCTAAATGAGTTGGGAACCCGTCAGCCAAACCTACACCTTTGAGTTTCCCTTTACTGTACACTTCAACCTCCATCCAATAAAAATAGCTTTGTCTATAGCGTTAATGGTCCCAATCTACATGACTTCTCTCTCTTTTAAGTCTACCTTCTTGTTCTTTTAATCTTTCTCAATGACACGTTTGATGACTTCCAATAAGATGTTGGCTCTCAATTTTTTTGCCAAAATTATTGATGGATTCAAATCAATCTTCATAATACACCATATCCATTCATAACAACAAACCACACGACGGTTTTGATTTATTAATACAAAGGCATCAAGGGTTGTAATTCGGTGATATTTTCTTCTTTCTTTCAAAGTAAAAAAATAAGGGTTTAAGTGTATAATGGGGGTAATGTGGGGTGTGTGGTTTCTTAAAGAAATTATTAGAGTTTACTTGGTTTGTAATTCCGAGAATAATTTTTTATTTTCAGAAAATTGTTTTCAGAGTTACAAACCAAGCAGGCCCATTGTAATTCTGAAAATAGTTCAAAAGAACTTAGAAAACTGTTTTCAAATAATTATTTCTTCGAAGACAAGCATTTTTATAACTGTGTTTTAAAAAATTGAACCAAACAGAATTTTTGTACAGTTTTTTATTTTTATTTTTAGTTATCTGAAAAGAGTAACAAATCAAGTAAACTCTTAATTTCTCTAAAAAAATGTATTGACGGTATTGGTTGGTGTGACGTAAATTTTTTTGTTTATCAAACTTAATGATATATATAAGTACAAATTTAAGATAAAATCAGATGAAAGATTAGGTATGTATGTGATTAGGAATATTGTGAAACGAATGGAACTATTTATGAATAGTTTGAAATG